TTCATGAGGTACGGAGTAACAATGGATTTTCGCAAGGCATCATTGTGAATGCAGTGCTATGCCCCCCCCCCCCGACTAGGCGACCGTGCGTTCTAGTCAGCTGTGTCAGCAGATAACGCAGACCAGCTGGAATGTTGCACGTAGGTAGGCAGAGCGTTCCAGTCACAAATAGGACGTGTTTGTGACTGTGAAGTTAAGATGCTGTACACATTTTCCACTGAGGAATACGCCGATATGGTGTTTGTTTTGGGTGTATGTGATGGAAATGCGAGAGCCACTGCTGCTGAACATGACGGCGTTATCCTGATTGCAGGATTCCAAATCGTAAATCCATTAGCAGTACATTCAACACATTAAGGTAAACTGGTTCTCTCCCCAGCGTTCGTATACAATACAAACGAAATCAACATGAATTGTGTGAAGAAGAAAACATTCTCTATGCTGTAGGGCGCAGTCCGCGTGCCAGTACAAGACATCTAGCTCGGCGGTTCGGTGTTTCTCAGTCCATGTCGTGGAGGACTCTTCATGAGAACGGGCTGCATCCTTATCATTTACAGCAAGTACAACACCTACAACCAGGAGATCATGCTCTTCGTCTGCAGTTCTGCAACTGGTTAAATGGAAATCGGCAGTTGTACCGCCTGATAATGTTCTGCGTTGAGGCACAGTTTACACGGGACAAGCTCAACAGCAGTCACAACTTACATGTTTTGGCAGACAATAATCCCTGTGCCACGGTAGAATCGAATTTTCACTGACACTGATTCAGTGTCAATGTCTGGTGTGGTGTTCTGTATGATCAGCTAATCGGGCCCTTCATTTTATTGCATTTGGGGCTGTATGAAGGACATTGTATACCAGGTAAAGGTACAAACACGTGAAGCGTTGCTTGAACGTATTCTGGACGTGGCGATGACAATAAGGAAGAAACATGTGGAATTGCGAAATGCTACGAGCATGTTTCATACGTGTGCGACACATTGTGTTGACGTGCAGGGAGAAATTTTTGAAAATCTTATGTAAATCCAGTCGTCTTCTAAAGCACTACAGTTTAAAGGAAACAGATTGATAGAAGGGTGTGATATGCTGTAATTATTAAAAAACGATAAAAGTCTTTTATGTATGATTTTTTTCTATTATTTTTGAAAAAAAACGAATTATTGAAACTGGTCTGTAATTCCCAACTTCTGTATCAGATCCTTTCTTGTACAAAGGTTTCACTTTTGCAATTTTCAGTTTATCAGGTAGCGGTAGCGTAATTGGTTGAGCGGCTATGCCACAAGCCAGAAGGTTGCAGGTTCAAGTCCCGATGAGGTCATTGGATTTTTTTCAGTTGACCTAATCCTTCCAGCCACACTAGGCCCTGGGGTTTACTCAGCCTCTGACAAAAAAGGGTACCAGGAATTAATTAAATAATCTTCCTGGGGAGTAAAGCACGACCGGCGCGTAAGGCTGACAACCTTACCGCCATCTTTGAGCCGATTGTCTAGATAATGTGGAACCCTCAACGTCTCACAACCCTGTGGGCCTTCACGGCCTGGTACAGGGATAGCTTTACTTTTTTTTTTTTTTTTACATGAGCCTCCATGCTGCTTATTTTTCCTACAAAATTTCAATATAAGGGAATAGTTTTCAGAGTTATAATAACCTATTTCTTATTCCTGTAACCAATGTTCGATGATACATAGTACATCCAACTCTAGTGCTTTTTCTGTTAGTAGCACATCCATATTTAGCTTTTTATTATTTAGACTTTGCATGTTTTAATGGAATATCTGAATGTTTGCATTGACTATACATGATTATTCTTGAGGCTATCAGCACTATTCTTATCTATAAAAAATCTTTACTTAGGTTTACTGGGGGCCTCCTTTGTCTGGTTGACATGTGAACTTCCTGCTGTTGATCTCTTTCAAATAGCACCGCACAGTTAAGAGATGGGTCTGCTGAAGTTTTCTCTGTTTCGTTCCCCTGGGTTTCTGCAGCCTCCTCATGGATAGTATCTTCTTTGTATTCTAGTTGAGTAGCCTCTTCATGGACTGTGTCTTCTGTAAATTCCCCACATGGTGTAGAAGCTGTTGAATTTTCTGGACATGGTATACTCGTACATTCTTCTGGTGATGTACTTCCTCCTGGCTTACTTGTAGCAGCTGTTGTGTCTGGTGCTGCACCTAGTCCAACCTTGTCCTTTCTTGTAGAGGATGGTTTCTGAAGTCTTCTTCTTGTCTGCATCTTGATTCAACTCTGGGCTGATTCTGTCATCTTCATATATCTGGTTGTTGTGCTTCTCTTTTGATTTCTCTACTTTATCTTCTTTCCAGATCATGCTGATTGGTTCTTCTATTTTTTTATGTAGCATGTCGTTTATTATCTTCTTGACAATCACTTATTTCCCTGTTGTCGTTCATGTGTAGGTCATGTTTTGTAAATAGTTCTCTATTTAAATCTAGCTTTATCAAAGCCGTATGTTCAAAAGCCTTCACCAGTTTACCCAGTTTTCTGTTGACAACTTCTGTCTCTTTGTTTACACAGGAATCTGAATGTAGATCATATCTATGTGATACACACATCTGGATGATGTTCATATGGTTATTTTTCTTGAAGAAGTCTTTCAACCGATTTAAGCCACCAGTGGTCTCATTTCTGCCTACGTCTCTTTTGCCTCCCCATACTGCTATCACATCATTTTTTGTCAAGAGTTTGACCTCTTCTTTCACTGTGTTTGTGGAGGCCATTAGATCAGCACCTGGCTTTATGATCCCGTGGACCTCAAAATCATTGACCCAGTTGTATATTACCAGTGTGTGCAATGCTGTACTGGCACATTGCATTACCATAATCTCACGCAGCATCCTCACAATTTTATTGTAAAGGGAGATATGTAGAAGTGAAATCAGTCTAGAAATCTGCAAAGAATTCCATGAAATCTGTTTCATGCCTATCCTGAGACTGTGAGACTCAAGATTTCTGTAGTTCATTCATGTATAAAGATTACCAAATCCAAACTGTTTTTTATTTTATTTTGTATGAAGTTTGAAATCGTGTCCATATATCATCAATGAACATAATCACAGTTCTCATATTTTGTTGTCTGCTGATTAGTCTTAAATCATTTATAATAACTAATAAGCAAGTTCTGCTGATATCTAACATTTGAAAATATAAATGAAGATTTTTATGATTGATTGTTTGTTGTTTGTTTATTTGATACTGCAGTTAATGTGAGGTTTTAAAAATGGGGAATGTGTAGATGGTTTTGGGAACTGGAAATTTACTTCAATGCTTCTGTTGTCCTCAATGACTTGATGTTAAAGGCAGATCATTTTGTTCATTTCTTGTACACTATAACTATTGGTTTACAGCAAACAGCAGTATGGATTCATACAATCCATCACATGGAAAGTTATGCATCCACTTTATCAATGCATATTTATACCTTTCTGAAGTACATATATGCTGATTACCACTAAGGATGTGAACACATTTACCATGATATTGATTTTGTAACATACTATGATAAGGGACTTATACATGTGCAGTAAAAATAGACTGAATTATTGATTTCCCACATTCCCTACATTCAGCTGACCTTGCTCTGTAGTTGTAAATCCCAGTGTGTGGTAAGCTGTTCACCTCAGTGGTTTTGCATGTTCTATAGATTAAGACAATTATTTATCCATAAAATATGACATTTAAGTTCTTGCTTTTAGAATTATAAGGGACTTGGAAGATTTCCACATCACAGTCCAGTACATGTTGAAAGTGACAGAAGCCAGAGAAGTAAAGAGGAACACAATATATGTGATGGTGTCTGTGAAAGAGAGAAGGAGCTGTTAATTTCATGCATTTCATCAGATAGCCTGGGCTTTGGGCACCAGAAGAAATACAAAGTAAGTGCCTGTTCAGAATGTAGTTATTGTTTGGAATTGTTTGTGTCACCTAATTTTGTCCAGAATTTTCAGCATTAACAGCAGTGATACTAAGACCATTAGTAATGGAAATATATGAACTCTCTCATATTAGAAACTATTTTTTAGAACCTCTGATTCCCCCATGTCATCCACATATCTTTTAATTGGTAGAGAATTGCATTATGAAATCGAACTGTCCTCAATTTTTTTCAGAGTGCAAACTTTAGTACATGTAAACATATAAATGAAGAGTGTTATATTTTCATTTTGAGCCATGCGTTCTACTTAGGCTCCGTTCAGCGGCTTCTCTTCCTACCCCCCCCCCTTTCCTTCTTTTCCTCGGAAGTTCTTTCGTCTAGAAAGTTCTTCCGTCCTGGCCTATCACGTGATCCTGCCCCTCCAACTGGTTCTGGTTTTATGGAGACAAGTAGGGTAGGGAGAGACGAACATTCTAGGACGAGAAGTCGGGGTAAACAGGTAACAAGGAAAATTCCTTTTGGGCGTGGCCAGTCTAAATTCGGTTTTGGTCGGTTTCCCATGAAAGTTCGGGACGAGGAGTAGCTATATTGGCGGTCTGAGGGCTATATATTTACATTTTTTGGTTGGGAAATATTGGGTTATTATTTTCTTGTGTGATGATGTATTCTATTATTTGTAAGCTAGCTAAACTGTTAAACTAAACTGTAAGACGCAACAGCAAGAACTAGGAGACGGAAGCGGCGTCTTCCCCTTGGTAGGAGGAAAGGTAAAAAGGGGCGGGTCAGCTCAAATGGTAGCAGAGCGTGGTTTAACGGTGTGTCCCTAGTTCTGGTTTACTGTACTATTATTATTTACTCTTGTTGTGTTGTGTTCTCTGCCTGCTACCATGCCACTTGCCTGGCTTCACACTATGTCCAAGCAACAGTTGGAGGAGTTGGCCAGTCAGCTGGGGCTGGAGGCTGGTGGGGCGCTGGACGACTTGAGGAAGCGCGTGAAGGAGAGGTGGGCCGCCATCGAGCCGTTCTGCTTTCTTCAAGCACGGCAGCTAAGTCTCCCTTAGTATCTAAGACCGAGTCCTCGGCACTTAAGTTTTGAGTCAGGACAGTTCATACGCGAGCAAGATGAAGATGAAACTGGTAGTGGATGCCTTGAAAAACGTCCCCTTCTTAGCGGAAACCGATCCGGAAAATGTTTTGAAATTTTTAATGGCAGTGAAGGGAGTGTACGACTTACACTTAGTGACTGACTTCAAGTTGATTTCTCTCTTGGTCGCTAGGACGTCAGGTAGAACAACTTCGATCTTGGGGGCCCATCTAAATTCTACTCGCGATTGGGGGATGGTTCGCTCCGAGATAGTTGACACCTTTCTCTCCCCTCGAGTGAAGGAGAGGTATTTATCTTTGTATGTTCTGGATCGTTTTCAATCACCATCAGAAGACTTAAATGGCTATATAATGGCATTAGTGGCGGCGGCTGAGATTTTAGGCTTTGAAGGGGGAGAGTCTCGGCTGGTTCACCGTATTCTACAGAATCTGCATCGTCGGGTCAAGGGCTACCTTTTGTTTGCGACCAGGCCAGAGACCATGAAGGATTTGTACGCTCTCGCGACGACTGTGGCCGAAGGGATGGCTGTTGAAGAACAGCGTAAGTCGCTGGGCGCAACTTCGCGGCCTAGGGGAGCTGAAACTATTCCCAATAGTATGGTAGTGACTGGATCCGCGCAGGGCGAGGTCGGTAGTAGAGTGAGGTGCTGGAGATGTGGCGAGGATGGACACTTCCGGCAAAACTGCCCCCGGGGACGGATGAATCGCAATCCTGTCTTGTTGGGAAATGCCCTAGGCGCTCGGGAGTAGGGAGTCAACCCTGAGCGCCAGGGTTAGCTCGGTCTCAGAGAGGTCCGTATCTGATGGCAGGGTGCCACAGTAATCTGTGGGCCCTTCTGAATATTAAAGGGTTCTCCTTGCCGGCCATGCTTGATTCCGGGTCGTCTGTCTCCTTTGTAAGACGGGACGTCCTGGACAAAATTTATAACTTAGGATTGCCTCACAAATTGGAAACAACAGGGGAATGTTGCCAGGCGACTAATGGAGAACCCTGTAATATTAAGGAAGCGGTCATTCTACTGGTCAAATTACACGGCCTTGCTTGGAAAGTTAGATTCTTGATTTTTGAACAGTGTCCGGTCCCTTGCGTTCTGAGAGTCGACTTTCTGGGGGCGGACCCAGGTGCGAATGAATTTCGCGACCGGGACATATAGTTTCACCTTCCATCCGGAAAAAGAATTGGAATTCAAATTGCTAGATTCTTGCAGGAGCCCCTTACAAGTGTTTCCTCGTGCCGAAAATGTGGTCAGTAGTTTCACGTGTCCCTGCTTGCCAGAAGTGCCGCATAACTCCTCCAAAATTAACAAGTTGATGCGGAACTTTCCTGCCCTCTTTTCGGATAAACTGGGCACTGCTAAGGGCACGGTGTGTCGCCTGGAGTTGACGGATAACGTTCTGGTGCGGTCGCGGTATAGTCCAAGACCTGCTGGATAAAGGCGTGATAAGGAAGAGCTCCTCTCAATACGCGAGCCCGGCATTTCTAGTGCCCAAACCCCACTGTGATTATAGGATGGTAGTAGACTATCGCCTGTTAAACAGAAAGGTAGTTTTCGACGCCTTCCCTATGCCGATGGTCGAGCATGCCTTCGCTGATTTTCACAGTGCGGAAATATTTTCGGTGCTCGACCTTAACTCGGCATATTACCAAATCCTCCTGATGCCTAAGAGCCGGAAGGCTACTGCCTTTTGTACCCCATTTGGGCTCTTTGAATTTAATAAGTTGCAGATGGGAATAAGCGTGGGGTGCCAGGTACTGTCGAGGCTGATCGACATGCTGTTTGGGGACCTCAAACAAAAATTCATGACTAACTTTATGGATGACCTGGTCGTATACTCTAGCTCACTGGCCGAGCACCTCGGGCACTTGGCAGAGGTGTTTAAGAGACTAGAAATGGCCGATGGCCGGGTTCACCTTAAACCCGGATAAGCTTCGGCTGGCCCAAAGAGAGATTTCCTTCCTGGAGCATTTGGTGTCGAGCCAAGGGGTTAAAATCTTGCCTGAGAGGGGGGAAGCCATTCGTAATTTTCCGACCCCCCGGAACTTGAAGGGGATTTGGAGATTTATGGGAATGGCAGGGTTCTATGGACGTTTTATCGAGCATTTCTCGTCGATTGTGGAACCCCTCCATGCGCTGAAGAGCAAGAACGCCAAGTTCATCTGGGGCGAGGCTCAACAGTCTGCCTTCGAACGGCTTAAGGAAGCCTTGTCGACGCCCCCAGTATTACAGATTCCGGATTTTTCTCGTGAATTTACGCTCATCTGCGACTCCAGTGATGTCGCAGTCTCCGCGGTCCTAAATCAAAGGCAAGGGGAAGGATTAGCTCCGATCGCCTACGGTAGCCGTTTGCTTTCCCCAGCCGAGAGGAGATACTCAACCCACGAGAAGGAGTGCCTCGCGGTGGTCTGGGGATGTGAAAAATACCGGACATACTTGGAACACAAAGAGTTTTCTCTACAAACGGACAACCAAGCTCTAGCCTGGCTGCTACGGCACACTGAAGAATTGGGCCGCATAGGGCGGTGGGTGTTGCGTCTGGCGCCGTTCAAATTCCAAGTCTGTCACGTCAGTGGGATATCTAATGTGGTGGCCGACTGCCTTACCCGACAGTACAAAGACCTCCCGAGTGACCCTACATTTACGGGTTTGGTCTTACAACATCTGCCTGAGGCGTTCCGATCAGTCCGCGAATATCAAGAGAAGGACTCCTTTTGTAAAGACATATACACGAAAGTTGCCCAGAATGACTCTGTGGCTAAGCAATTCAAGTTACTTAACGGGGCTCTTGTGTATCATCCTTCTTGGGCCAGCGCTAAGCGCTATGTCCTTCCTGAGGCACTCAGGCCCATGGTGCTTGAGTATTTCCACGGGTCTATGCTGAGTGCGCATTTGGGGGTAAAGAAAACGCTTAGCCAGATCGTGAAGGTCTTTTATTGGCCGAATATGAGGTCGGAAATCTGCAAGTTCGTAAGGGTCTGTCAGGACTGTCAGAGGGCCAAGCCCGCCCAAGATTCTAGGGTGGGTCTCCATAGCGAAATTGTGACGAGGCCCCTTGAACGGATATTTATTGATTTTCTTGGACCGATTGTCAGGAGTCGGAGGGGGAACGTAGCCATGTTGGTGGTGTTAGACGGGTTTTCGAAGTTTGTGTCTATGTATCCAGTGAGGAAAATTTCGTCTGAACTAGTGGAAAACTGCCTCGTGGAGAAATTCTTCCCCACTTTTGGCGTCCCCCAGGCTATCATTTCCGATAGTGCTGCAGTCTTCAAGTCACGGCGGTTCTACAATCTGTGCTTCTCTTGGGGCATTCGCCACATCATGACTTCACCTTATTACCCTCAAGCTTCCCAGGTTGAGCAGTTTAATCGGAATTTGAAGGCTGCACTGATCATTTATCACCACCGTCAACACACTAGTTGGGACGAAAATCTGCTCTCGTTGGCCATTGCCTTTAACATTGCGTGGCACGAGTCGACGGGAGCAACTCCGGCTTCCCTATTTTTGGGGAGGGAGATGAACCATCCCCTGGGCCTTAAATGGGAATTTCGTGAGCTGGAGCTCCAGCAGGACCCCAAGAATATGGGTGAATACTGGGAGGCTGCCCTCGCTAATTTGAGGAAAGCTCGGGCTAGGGTGGCAGCCAGGTACAATGCGGGGAGAAGGCCAGGAGAGTTCTGCGTGGGGAACTCGGTTTTAGTTCGATTGCATCCACTGAGTTCTAAGTCACGCCAGCGCTCCACCAAGCTTGATCTCAAGTGGTCTGTACCTCTCATCATTACTAAGTTTGTATCGCCGGTGACAGTCTTTCTGGCCAACCCTGAAACTGGGGTTATCATAAGAAAAGCCCACATATCTCAACTCAAGCCATATATTTGGCGGGGTAGTTATATCTAGCTTGGTATGTTGAATTCATTATGTATTCAATGTGTACATGTCAATTATACAGGGTGTCCCAGGAGGAATGGACCAAACTTCTGGAGGGTGTTCCTTATGTTAAAGTATGTCGATATAACCCAAAACACCTATGTCCAAAGTTGAACGGTTACGGAGATAATGGCCCGAGAAAAGTGTGGTCTTCTGGTGGGTCCATGCAATATACGTGTCAGCTGAGACTCTTATCTGTTTGTCCTTGAATGCTGTGAGTCACACTAGCTGTAAGCTCATGCACTACATACAGAGCCTACAGATTACGTTGCGGCGGGGTCGTGAATGGGTGGTAAATTAGTTGTGTGATGAGTTGCTGAAATGCCTCTTGTGTTTTCACATGTGGAATATTGTGATATGCATTTTGTGTGTGGATTTTGCAGTGGCAATGCACGTGCTGCTGTTGAAGAATACCAAAGGCATTTTCCCGATTGAAGGATTCCATCTCGAAGTGTATTTACGCGAATTCACCAGACATTGCGTGATACTGGTTCTCTTGCGAGTGTTTCTGTGCACTCTGAAAGGGAGGATGTACGAATGATAGACACACGAGAGAACATTCTTGATATGGTTCAGAGAAGTCTGCATCTGTCCACTCGTAGAATGGCCTCTCGCATCGGCGTATCACATATGCAGGTGTGGCGAACTTTACGTGATGAAGAGTAATCCTTACCATGATCAAAGGGTACAACATCTGGAACCAGGCGACCATGCACAGCGTATGGATTTGTGCCACTGGATAAAAAGCTCATCCTGAACTGTTAAGCGTCATTTTATTCAGTGATGAGGACTCTTTTACCCTGGACGGTGTAATTAATTTACGAAATGTGCATACGTGGTTCCATAATAATCCACATGAGATAATGGAAACGAAATTCCAAAAGAGATTTTCCGTGAATGTACATTTATTACAGTTATGTGGTTGGCTTATAGCGCAGTCAGCCACGTTACGTCAGCATTGGCCAGTCATGTGTCATGTATAGTGCTTGGAAACCCTAAGGACAATTATGACATGGCGAGCGAATATTTTGTACTTCAATTTTATGGCTTTCCGTCACTCACAAGTTAGTTTGATGTTACGTACATTATTAACATTACAGAATCCACATATTCCTGCCAGTTTTAATATGTATTTTGTAATCAACAAGTGTGTAACACTGGTCAAAGTTTGACACTTCTCTGGCCATTATCTCCGTAACCGTTCAACTTTGGACATAGGTGTTTTGGGTTATATTGGCATACTTTAACATAAGGAACACCCTCCCGAAGTTTGGTCCATTCTTCCTGGGACACCCTGTATGTTATATATGTTGATTATGGTGTATGTTCCAGCTGGAGGCTTAGCCCTGTCCTCCTTAACCCTTACCCTTCACTTAGCCATGTCTTCGGGAAGTGCGGGGACCCCCCTCCCCCCGCCTGTTGGAGGGCTCATCAGCGTCAAATGGCATATGCTGCCCCGCTGCGACGTTTTCTCAGTTTGCTTGCTTGCTCCCGGCCAGTGCTCCAGATGGGCCCTATTTCCAACGGTGCTGGGAGTGGTTTACTCTGATGGCTGAGCAGCGCTAGGGTACGTCTGCATTGGGGACTGTCAATGCACGGTTGACAGCCAATTTGGTGATTTCAGCTGCCGTGTGTATCACTATGAGACTGCGGTGCGGACGGTGGGGTAATGATCCTAGAACACCCTATGGGCTGTGTAGACCCCGGGAGTGACGTATGGACGTAGCAAGGGTGACTGTGATAATGGACTGGTGTAAGTGGTGTTTACACTGGCTGGCTGGGCAGTGCCAGGGTACGTCTGCATTGGGGACTGTCACTTCACAGTGGACAGCGAACTTAGTGATTTCGGCAGCGGTGTGTATCAATATGAACCGCAGTGCAGCAAGTGATGTTATGAGATGCATCTGACGTGTGACGGTGTTGGAGAAAAATTTGAGTTATGCCCTGGAACAGAGTGTTCTACTGTGAAGGGGGAGATCCTGAGCCATGCGTTCTACTTAGGCTCCATTCAGCGGCTTCTCTTCCAACCCCCCCCTTTTCCTTCTCCTCCTCGGAAGTTCTTGCATCTAGAAAGTTCTTCTGTCCTGGCCTGTCACGTGATCCCCCCCTCCTCCAACTGGTTCTGGTTTTATGGAGACAAGTAGGGTAGGGAGAGACGAACACTCTAGGACGAGAAGTCGGGGTAAATAGGTAACAAGGAAAATTCCTTTAGGGCGTGGCTAGTCTAAATTCGGTTTTGGTGGGTTTCCCGTGAAAGTTCAGGACGAGGAATAGCAGTATTGGCAGTCTGGGGGCTATATATTTACATTTTTTGGTTGGGAAATATTGGGTTATTATTTTCTTGTGTGATGATGTATTCTATTATTTGTAAGCTAGCTAAACTGTTAAACTAAACTGTAAGCTAAATTGTTAGCTAAACTATTGTGATCTATTATTTGTTTGTCAGAGAGTTATTGTACTGTATTCTATTATATTTGTTATGTTAAACTTTTGTTACTGCTTGGACATCCCTTATATCTCGGGAGGTTTTAAGACACAACAGCAAGAACTAGGAGATGGAAGCGGCGTCTTCCCCTTGGTAGGAGGAAAGGTAAAGAGGGGAGGGTCAGCTCAATTTTCATTGTTTTTCAGGAAGAACCAATGGTGCGTTTTGGGGAATATTCACCACAAAATCCTGGTCTTTTATCACCTGGCAAAACTTTACTGGGATTGGGAGAATATGAAGAAAAACGCCGGAAAATACTGGAACATAAGAAGCATGAATACCTACAGCAGATGGCACAAGCTCGTCAAGCTGTGAAAGATGCAGTGTCTGGGAGATTTGCAGAACCAAGACAGCAGCAAGAAACTTCTGAGTTCAGATTGAAGCCCTACATGAACACAAGACTTACAACAGGCACACAGACAGATTTACAGGTGCTCTCATGATTTAGTGATTTGGTCATTGTGAATGTAAGGATAAACGTTTTTTGCATTTGTGCTCATTGTAGATGAAGTGAATACATATAGAGGAAGTCATGTTCATAAGTTTTATCTCTGAATCTGCAGGCTGTATTTAAATAAAATTTGATATTATCTGGTGACTCAAAAGTTGTCAGGCAAATTTAGTTTTATATATTCATTAAAAAAATGGCATTTCATTTGATAGAGTCATATATGACAAAATATAAAGCATGTTAAGATCAACAGCTTTTACTTGAAACATCTCGAAACAGAGAGTAGAGATTTTTTTTTTTTTTACAAAATACAAGTAAAAGTAGTTACTATTTCTATGCAGTGTGTTGAGTGTAGTATGATTAGCTTTCCAACAGTGGGTTTGTATATACTTTAAGTGAACATAAATGTCAGTGAGATACTCAAAATTATGAAGAACATGTGCAAATTTTTCCTCTGTTGCATCTTTCTACACTTGGTAGAATGCATACTCGCTTCGAAAACTCTTGTGTTTTCAGACCTTATATGACTGTCACAAAAAATTATCCTAATCTCAGCAGTATTATGACATTGGTATTAACACTGTTGAACTATCCGCAGATGATTTAAAAAAGTGGTCATCCCTGGTGTGCAGGGAGTGCATCACTGCAGTGCAAAATAAATAAGCGTAAAGAAAGAGAGGATGGCGAGAAACAGCCAATTCGTCTTGTTCAACGGATGTGATTGACATTGTTGTAAACGATATATACACAGTGAAAATGTTTGTTTCCAGTAAATATAAGGTTTCTTTTAAACAGAAAAATTGATCCATATTTATATTTTAATATGATATGATCAGTGATATTAGGTTGTGGTGAATCATGCTGAATTTATGATTTTATCTGACAGAAAATTAAAAAATTTATAATAAAAGCTACATTTTTCAGAATTTTAGAACAAGCATTTAGTATATCTTGGGAGTCCACTACATTGCTGACATCAGTAGTACAACTTCTGCTTGTAATAGTTAAGTCCTTAGTGAGGATTTCATAATTTGAATTTCATAGTTTTTGTTCCCAGGTACTAATGGTATTAATGATATTTGAACTGTATACACTTTATTTTTACAGATAATCTTAGTGGTCTGAGATAATTTTATGAAATGACTTACACTGATAAATTGAAAGTCATGCCACATGAATGAAGTAGAACTCATAAATCTGCTTTGACTTCCTATTGAAGTTGAGTATATTCTCTGTCTGTGGTTCTTGACTGCTGAAGCAGTATTTTATTTCTTGCCAGACTGTGTAACATATCATGATGAACTGTGTGAACAACAGTTCATATTCTTTCCTTCAAAGTGTCAAACATTACTGGCATTGGCAGAACTAAAGCTTCATTCTTGATTTAATGTTGAGTAGGGTTAGAGTGGGTGAAGATGTTGAAAAGGAAATGGGCACCTCTTTGCCAATCCAGAACCCAGATCACCACTTGACTTTATTCTTTGGGGTTATGAACACTTGAAAGGAAAGAGTAATGAATGAATGATTGAATGTATGAGGGGTAGGCCTTCTCAGCCCTTGCACCATGACCACAGTGGTCTGTTGTGCTTCCCTTTTTTTAATTATTCCCTCAGCAATCCCGTGCTTTGGATGAAGTGCAGGATTTTGGACGTGGGGGTGTCAAAATAGTCACTTGCTTCCATAAAGTATTGACCCAAGTGGCGCAGTCTTAAATAAGCTAAAGCCTCACATTCACACAGGATGTGTGTGGCTGTTTCGTTTTCTGTCTGACACCTCTCACAAGTAGGACTATCACTTAGTCCCAGTTTGAACAGGTGTCCTTTGAGGTGACAGTGTCCTGTAAGTAGTCCTACCACCCATCGTAGCTGGTTCCTGTTTAGCTTCAACAGTTCCTTCGCTCTTTTAGTGGAAGGTCCTCATATGAGTCCCTTAGCTTGCCTGAGTCCAGTTAAGGATCTCCAGTATTTCTTATATTTTATGTTAGTCCAGTCCCTGATTGCCTGTTTGGCAACTCCTATAGAGATGCCACAGGCTGGTTCAGGTACTATGAACAGATGTTCAGCCCCAATTTTAGCTAATTGGTCTGCTGCTTCATTTCCAGCAATACCCTCATGCACCGGCACCCATATCAGTCCTACCCTGTTATGTTTGGCCAGTTCCATGAGGGTTTGGTGGCAATCCCAGACCAATTTTGAATTGATCTGGTGTTTGTCAAGCGCTTTAATTGCAGCTTGGCTGTCAGAAAGAATGTAGATTTTCCTATTTCTATAGTTCCTATCTAAATTCTCCATAAGACATGCTTTAATGGCACATACTTCTGCCTGGAATACTGTCGTGTACTACCCAAGGCTGAAACTAAGTTTCCGCCTCGTGCCATGGCAGTACACACCAGCTCCAGTGCCCTTATTTATCTTGGAACTATCTGTATACCAGATCAGTCCCCCTTTTCTATCGGGCCGAAACCCATCTTCCCATTCACTCCTGTCAGGAAATCTGACTGTGAAGGGTTTTTCATATACATGTCTCAGTATCATTTTGTCAGACCCCATTTGTAATATGGATTCATTTTTCATGTCCTGAGTCATGTACGAAAGGGGACCCAAAAATAACCGGAAACGATCTGTTGCGCACGCATGCTTTGTAGTTACAAGTTGTGCTGCTAGATTGTGTTAGCTGGGGGTCTCCCGCGACTGTTAGTGAGCTGGCATCAGTCTGAGTTAAGTGGTTTGTCTGTGGTGCTCTGTTGTGTGCGTTCCTGTTTCAACCCTTTGGCGATTAGTGAGATGGCCGACCAGAAGGAACAAAGAGTGTGCGTGAAATTTTGCTTTCTGTTAGGGAAAACTGCA